GCCACATTTGAGGATAAAATATTGATGAGAGGTAAGCAGAACTTCTTAAGCACCACTGTGGTGCACTGATTCGAGCCAGAATGTTTGTGCTGTTGGTGGAGCCCTGCTGTTTTGAAACAGTTAGCAAGAGTCTTCATGAGGGCAACTGCACCATCTTGCTAAAAGCTCGCTTTTAAAAGACATCGCATAAAACTTTCCCATCTGCTGCAGTTGTACTGCCCACATTACAGCTTACTGTTTTTTTAGATATCGTGTTTTTGCGGTCTTGGGTATCTGTACCTATACCCCGCTTCTATGCACCAGTTATCGACCACCTCCTGCCGCCAGGAGAGCCGTGGGTGGGAATGCGTACAGTCGGTAAGATGCGACATGAGCTTGGCGTTAAACCGGAACAGCGGGAGGACTCCTTGTATAAGGTAAGCTTTTGCTGCATAGTTTATTTCGTAGGTTAGTTAGCTGTAAAAGGATTGTAAATGATAGGGGGGCTCTCAAAATGCTTATTCTAGCCCGTTGAACGTGATGAACTGGAACCGGCTCCACTTGTTGTGCCCAGCAAGCTTCAACAGAGCTTACCATTCAAGCTGAAACCGACATATGAGGATAAATCGAAAGAGGTGAGTCGTCCCCACATTTACATTTGAGGAGGTCTACAGAAAATTGGAAGCTGTTTGACTTGGGGGGAGGGGGAGGGAGGTGACGTTCTTCACTTTCGCTGGACCCTTTTGCTAACTTCTGTTAAGTTATACCTCTTCTTACTTGGTAAGATCTGTAGACCCTTGTCAAGTGCAAACGAATGTCGCACTCTTGTATAGCTTCACAAGAGTGTACAGACATCTACAGGAGGCATCGACAGTGAACCTGCAAAATGCCACCACCAGGCTAAACTGTGACGAAAATCACTCTATTTTGCTTCAGCCTAAGGAGCAGCTTATTGCCAGAAATACTGTGGTAATCCTGGAGCCCGAAGAAGCTAAGAGGAAACACATGATGGATATGCTGAGAACTATCAATACGTATGTTGCCGAGGCAACCTCCTCTTATTTTCAATGAATTTCTACATATTGTCTGTTCAGGGATATCACAAAGAAAGCCGAGGCCGCGCGCGAGAAGCAAATGGCCAAGCGAGCGAAGGAGGTGAATCTCTCTTTTGTAAAGAAATGTGTCGGTAAAAAGTGATGGATATGATAATTTAGGAGGCTGAGTTCCAAGCAAAACGGGAGAAAAACATCAAAGAACGCAAAAAGGCGATATGTCGCGTCTTGTCGAAGCGTGAACAGTACCGGCTCAAGAAGGCTCTTGGACAAGCGGCTAGCAGTAGTTGAAAGTGATACAAAATAAGGCAGTTGCTCTGTGATTTGTAATGGTTAAGCAAGAAGTGGAGAATATTCTAGTTGCCTATCATGCTGCGTTTTAGCCCACTTGTTGTTGATTTCAGATTGGTTGTTTTCTTGTCTGTTTTGTTGTTATTTTGTTACGCGATAGAAACCATTGGTGATGAAAAAAATTGTAAGTTTCAGGAAAAAAACACATGAAAAATAAATTTATTATTGCTCAAGCATTGGTTGTGCCGTGATGGTCCTTACGGTTCCAGCCAGATCGTTTTTTACTGTGTTGCTCAAAGTTTTCAGTATCAGTTTACCTTATTTATCGCGCCATATATGCCCCATATCCCGGAGATAAAGTGGGCGTGGTTGCGCAATTCATCCGGGCATGGCGTAGGATGCGCTTCCCGTGGGGTATTTCCATTCAAGACAAATGTATCCTGCCTTGTGCTGAGTAAATACATCATCACAGTTGTTTACAAAACAATATAACATTCGAGGGATAGCCGCTGTTACGCTCATATACATGAGGTACTTGGTCACGCCCCTCCTTTCAAATCATGTACGTAGTCACGCCCATCTACGGGATATGAAATATTGAGTGGAAAATAGT